TATGAGAAAATGGTGCAATAAACCCTTATGCATACAATACCATTTTCTCAAAAAAGTCTATGAATCAATGAAATCGATGCCAAACACCTACTAGAGCGATTTGGTTTATGGGTAAATTTTTAAAACCTTGTTCTAAACATTGGTTAGTGGAAGAAATGAAGAATACAATGGAGAAGATGAATATTGTAATGGAGCTGAAGATTACTATGAATGAGATGAAATTGATTATTATTTTTTTTGGTTCATTGTCGTGATTGCTGCTTTTGCATTCTAACAAAAATGAGGGTAGTGGTACTTAGTTTTTTATTATTTTTGGGTGGATTTATTAGTTTAAGTTTAGTTTTTGGGATTTTGGTGGTTTTGTGTTGATAGGGGTTTGATAATTATGGTTTATTGTTTTGCCAATAATTTTAATCTCCTTTATCATAATTTTAATCTCCTTCACTATATTCTTTTTTTTTCATTGTTCATTTTTTCCATTGTATTCTTCATATCATCCATAGTATTGTTGAATTTGTCCACCGTATTGATCACATATTCCATTTTCTAAGCAAAGTTTCCAATCCGATTTATTGTTTAATATCTCATCAAAACTATGTGTTCTACTTCATTTAGCAATGAACTCTTTGGTAAACGTTGTTGCAAAGGAAATTAAGACGTGCAACGACAATAAAATGAAGATGGTCTAGTAGGGATAACCCTTGGACAATGATCCCTTATTATAAGCAACTTCTAAATTACAAAAGAAATTTCAAAAATTCATTATTCATTTCGATCATATACGGATTCACAATCTCTGGAATCGAATTTGAATATAATCCTCCCCTTTCTTCATTTTAAATAAAAAGGGTCATTTATTAGAATACGTCCTATAGTTTCACAAATTTACTTAAACTTACCCTATAGTTTGCAACCTATTTACTTAATCAACCTTATTTGTATTGCCATATGAAAATAGTAACATGATCGTCTAAACTAAGTGGAAAATGTTTAAGGGCATGGACCCATTGTTGTTTATTCCAAAAGTACCCATAAACATAGTGGAAAATGTTCAAGGGTATGGGTCCATGGTTATTTATTCCAAAAGTTCCCTAAGATTCTTTTGTATAGAAAATGAAATTAACCAAACAGAGAAAAATAAAGTGGTTGTTCTTGTTATACTAGGGGCAAAAATGATATTTTTGTTTTTAGTTTTTTAATTAAATTTATTTAAATGGATGTTAGTGTTAAAACTGTCATTTTTCACTTTCATCTAATGAAATGTCGATTAGGTAAATTACTTGCAAACTATAGGGGTGTTTTAGTAAAATACAAACTATAGGGTAGGTTTTAATAAATTCCTAAAACTTTAGGGGTGTTTTAGTAAATGACCCTAAAAAATAAAAAGTTAACCACTAAGCAATGTTTTAAAAACCGACTCAAACATTGAATTGCTTTGGCCATCGGTTTTTTGGTCAACGATTCGATTGTCCATGTCAAATGGATCAAAACGATCAAGGTAACTTTTGCATCTTGATCATTGAATTAGCATATTAAGTCAGGTTAGGAAGAAATATAAATAGAGATGAGGTATGTTAGTTGGGAAAGGAAAGAAAAAAGATAAAGGAAAGGGAAGAAAGAAATGGAAATAAAATAAATAGAATAAAGGAAGGAGGAAGAGGAGGAGGTGGTGGTGGTTCACCCGCGATGACGACAATGACAGTGGTGGCGACAACAATGGTACTAGACAACAACGTTGAGCCAATGACAACAAATCTAACCTTTGATCGTATCTCAGATCTACCAGATTTGGCAGATCTCTCCATTTCTCTCTCATCTTTCCCACCATATTCTTTATTCCCTTTATAGTAATTTTTAGTTCGTTTAAAATATTCTTCATTTTCATCACATTTATCGTAATCTTTGTCTCCATCTATTTTCACAATATTTTTTCATTTAATATATTGCCTTTAGTACATATTCCATTCTCTTTAGGGAAGTCTCCCATTTTATTTGTTGTTTGGTGTGCATTTGTACATGTTGCTTGCCATGTGAATTTCACATATGCCACCATGTGCCATAATATACGTGTTACTAAATATGTTCAAATGCCACATGTCACTAAATTGTTACTAACTACAAATAAATGCCATGTGGCATCTATATAAGATGTTATATGACATACATGTAGTATTGACTTACATTTAGAAGCCACATGGGATTTATGTATACCATCACATGGCTTCCATATACGTTCAAATGCTATATGACTTGCATGTATGATGCCATGTGGCTCGCATGTGACCTTCATTTTGACTACAACTTGACATACATTTATCAATGATTATGTTTAAATATCACATGACATCATGTACACACGACGTGCATATGTTATTGAATAGATAAATATATCTATTATGCTTCCATGTGATATCAATATATGCTATGACGTGGTGGTCTATAAATACTACATGTGTGATTGGTGTACATGTATTTTACAGTATAATATATATATAAAAAAGCCAAAAAAAAACAAAGTATTAAAATTGTGATTTTCATGTTTTCTGTACATTTTTAAAAGTAAAAAAACATGTCAAACAAATGAAAAGTAGTGTTTTTTGTACTTTCATAATTTCAAAAGGTACAAACTAAGAGGGCCTTAGAAAGCAACCAAAATACATGCTTGTAAATAAATGAAAATTTGTAACTGTACAAAGTAACAACAAAGTATACACATAATATGCATTTAATTTTATCTTATTTATTATTATATATTAAAACCAAGATGGCCATATTAGATGCCTCTCTTTTTTCCCTTCACCCAACCCTATAATTCTAGAGTGTCTCCCTTATTCCCTTCCCCACCCCTCCCATTATGCCAAGTAATGAAGGTTGTTAGCCATTTAAATTAGGACATGTATATTAAATTCAAATTGTGATAATATAGGTAATCTTGAATTGTGAGAATGTAGAATCATGAAAATACAATAAAATTTGCTAAAAATACTGAATGAAAGTTTACCAATTTTAATTTCTTTGCTTCTTCTAATATATCCAAAGGACAACTACAAATAAGAGAGATGATTGGATCATTGTTTAGTTGTGAGTGTATAAAACAAAAACAACTTAGAGAAATGACAATCGTTGTTCACTTGTGGCTATAGAAAACAAAGACGACTACATAACTTATTGTAGCTCAAGACTAGATTTCAACTATTTTATATTTCGTTCCATCATCAATGCAATGTGAAGCATTGTAAAAATCAGAGATAGTGGTGATTTTTTTTTTGATTAATGGTACAATTCATGTTTTCAACATTGTAAGAAAATCAAAATTAGTGCGTTGCATCATTAAACCACTATACCATGCAATTAATTGTATAATTCATACATTTAAAGAAAAAACTCCGGTGATTCACTTAGGATAATTTAAATCCAATAAATGATTTATTAAAACCAATTTCTCAACATTGTCTTATATGTTTTTGCTTGAAATTGAGATAAATTTAACATAATGTGGGTAGCCCATTCCCTTTAAGTCCAAAATCCTAGTGATAGTTGGTTTTGATCCTAGGTCTTTGCTAAAAATGAGTAAAGATCCTATATTATGTATAATATCATATATATTATAAAATATATTTTACACATAATATAATATAATATTAAATCTAATATATTTAATGACTTAGGCCCAAAACCTAGTCCAAACCCTAGGTCCAGATTTGGGCATGTCACTAATTAAATTTTATAAGATATATAAAATATTTAATACTATAAGGCATAGTATATTATATGTATTATTTATATATATAATATAATATAATATAATATAATATAATATAATATAATATAATATAATATAATATAATATAATATATAGATGTGAATATATTATTATTATTACGGATCAAGTTAGGCTTGAAGTATTGGCCCTGGGGCCTAGCTTGATTTCCAAGTTTAGTGCAGGCCATGGTTTGAAATTTTGTGGGTTGGGTAACCCGATGGGCTGGCCCCACCTGACTCGATCTACATCAGGCTTGGACAAGATATCAAGCCCATGGGCTCGGGCTTTCTCAAGAAAGCCCAGCCTGAGTTCGACTTGATAATGCATTTATATAATATAAATATATTATATATAATATTTTTTCTTTATTATTCTTATATTTTTTCAAGTAATAGTGAGATTCTCATTAGTTTTTAGGTTTCGAGGTCTTTTAATATAAATGAAATAGTATTTTATTGAATAAAAAAGAAAAGTAATCTTTTTCCAATTTTCTGGTTGGGCTTGGGCTTAGGATCAAGACCTAGGCCTGTTGATTGGAACAGGCTCAGGCTCGTGCGTAGGTATATTATGTTAATAAGAAGACAAAGCCCGACCTGAACCGACCCGACTTGGCCCATGAATAGGTCTAGCTATGAATGTTCAGTGATCACCCCTATTTTGGAACTAGAAGTAGGGCTGCCAACGGGTCGGATTTGGGTCAGAACCAATTGGAAAACGGAGCCAACCCAACATGAAATGTTGATAGGGTATGTAATTGTTGGACCTAGGGTCGAACTGATCGATTCTTGGGACAATTGGATTTGACCCAACAGGCCCAATTATAATAAATAAAAAATAAATATTTATGTTTAATATATATTAAATATTCTATATATATTCTATATATTACATTATATGTATAGTATATATAATTTATTTATTTAATATATTATACATTATATACATCGGGTCGGGGAGTAGGTGGAATCGGTTTCAAACCGATAATAATTGGGACCCTATATGAAGACCCAGAATCGACCCGTCCGTTCCAGTTCCCGGAACGAGAACCGGCCCAATCGGTTCGGATCCATCAGTCCATCGGATCGGACACGACCCATTGACAGCCCTAATTGCACGTGGGCGAAATTAAAATGTATAAAGAAAAGGGTCCTTTCAAAAATAGAAGTAAATGTAGGGGGTTTATAGAAATAAACGAAAAGAAGCAAAACCCTAATACTCCCATTTCTCGGAAGTCTCTTTTAACCCTTGATTCTCTTTTTCTCTCTTCTTTCATATCCCCTCACAGAGTCACAGCAGCCGGTAGCTCCAGAGAAAATGGTTTCAGGTTCGGGAATATGCGCTCGCAGGGTGGTTGTGGATGCGCGCCACCACATGCTTGGCCGGCTGGCTTCCATTGTGGCAAAGGAACTTCTCAACGGCCAGAAGGTCGTCGTCGTCCGGTGCGAAGAGATCTGTCTCTCCGGCGGCCTCGTTCGCCAGAAGATGAAGTACCTTCGCTTCCTCCGAAAGCGAATGAACACTAAACCATCTCACGGCCCCATTCACTTCCGCTCCCCTGCTAAGATCCTCTGGAGAACGATTCGAGGGTTTGTCACTATACTTTCTATCTATCTCTCTGTTTATCTATCTCTACATCTCATAAATCAAATCCATTTGAGTTTCTCTTGGGTTGTGGTGACGGTTTGTCCGTGTTTGTTTTGCAGAATGATTCCTCACAAGACTAAGCGTGGAGCGGCTGCTCTTGCTCGCCTGAAGGCTTACGAGGGAATTCCTCCTCCCTATGACAAGATGAAGAGGATGGTCATCCCCGACGCTCTCAAGTGAGTGTTTTAGTTTTTAGACTGAGATGGATTTCTATTTTCAGCTCACATTTCTGATCTCCTGTTCTGGGACCTTGTGAAATTAGAGTTTTGAGGCTTCAACCCGGACACAAGTACTGTTTGTTGGGTCGCCTTTCTTCGGAAGTTGGATGGAGCCATTACGATACTATTAAGGTGAGAGTTCAAGTTCTCTTATTTCCCTTTGAATGCAGCATTTTTTTTTAACTTATTGTTGTGATGGACTTTTGGCACATTTCGAGTACAAGAGAATGCTGTTATTCTTTGTCTTAATAGAATATTTGAATTGTAAATTTGTAATGGTATGCCATACATTGTCTAATGTGCCATTGATGATACTTGCAAAAATGTTTCATGTGCACTTCTAGACAAGGCATACTGTTTTCTTCGAATTTTTCCTGCTTTCTCGTGATTTCATTATAGTGAGACTTTGCTGTTTATCTCTGCACTAGGTTAAGATTTGTCTGAAATTTAGTTTAATATGTATTTGGTACCGATTCTGCTACAAGGATCCTATCACAAAGTAATTTGCTCCGACACTTCCATTATGGCATTAAACATGACTAATTTTCAAAACCATCTTTTTTTGTGGTTAATCTTAAGGGAATACTCAAATGCTCAGTTGTTATTTATCCATTAATCAAGCTCTTATTACTTCCATTTATTGCAAGATTTATGAACCAAAATGTTTAACTGTCAATTTTCCTTAGCTTATGTTGTAATGTGAACGTTAAATTGCTATATGTGCTTGAATATGCAAGTGAAATCGAATATTATTATGGCTGATGTCACCTTTGCAATGTTTTTTCTGCATTCTTTCTAATACATGCTCTGCGTTAGGTTTGATTTTGTTCTTCTAGGTAATAATATTTTTGGTGCTATAACGACTTTGTATTATTTTTTACCACATAGAAGCTGAAGTGTGTTATCACTCCATGGTGTTAGTTTAACAGAGCAAATATACAATTATTTTAAGTTGTAAGGGTGCTATCTAAAATGTTTTGATGTGCTTTTAAGGGTTACTTTTGGGCTCTTGATTCCTTGTGAATTGCAAAAAGGTTTGCTGCATTTTTGATTTCGCCCATTTTGCTCATTGATTGCATCTATTGTGCTGCTCTATTGGCATAAAGGGAGCCTTTATTTAAGGTCTATGGTTGAATTTACTATACGAAGTAATTCATAGAATATAGGCACCTTCTATTTGGTGGATTTTTCCACTGCTATGGGTGATGGCTAGGAGATATAAATTCCCACTCGGGGCTTTAGGAAGAATGTGTTTAGTTTTGATCCTTTTCATTCTCTTATTGTTGATGTTGTGGTACCAGTTGGATTGATTCTCAGAGTTATTATTGTTTTGTACTTTGTTATTTTTCTACAGTAGTTGGATTCTCTTGAAAACAAAAAATTCTGCTCTTCCGTTGATGATAGATGAAACCATTAGATTCTCGTTCTCTCTTCCTCTCATGTGTGTTTGTGTGCTAAGTGAAGTCTTCCTAAAGAAATAAGAGGGTACACAATGCACTGTGCACAGAAATCCTTTGACACTTGATACAACACTCACCAACTGAGCCAACAATCCAGGAAACTAACCCCACAAATCAAATAAGCCATTTTTTTTCATAAGTGTCAAAAAAGCCATATTCTCTCCTTGCTTATGGTCTCTAAATCAAGTTCCCAGCACAAATTAAGTTTTTGAGGTTTTATTGGGCCAGTGAGAGGGTCCTGCACATCTTTCTCCTCATAAACAATGAAAGCAATGAAAGTCCTATTTGTTTTAATAATCATTTCTCTTTTTGCAGTCCCTATCGTTAGTGGCAAGTATGGTCCTGCATATCTTTCTCCTCAGTAGTGTTTTTTCCTTTTTGTGTGTTTGCGTTAGTATGTAATTTATGTATTGGGTGGGGGAGGGGAAGTTTTATGAGAACTTGAACATGTAATCGACAAAAGCTAAATAAATGGCAACTTGCCAAAAAACACTTGGCTAAGCAAACAAAACCCACATAAGAGATATGTGTTGGGTGGGAGAGGGGAAGTTTTATGGTTTTCTGTAACTATTATATTTGGGAATTGATATGATGTTGTTCGATGGTTTTGTTCATTCATCATTACTGAATTACAAATGGAGCCTCATACGAGAAATTGTGCTTGGAAAATTTATCATATATACTTTTTCCTTCTTATTTAATTAAAAAGTAGTTTACCATGTTAAAAGGAAACTTGCACTTGAGGGTCATCTTCTAATTGTTGGAAATTCTATTCTCTACAGGAACTTGAGAGAAAGAGAAAGGAGAGGGCCCAGGTGGCATATGAGAGGAGGAAGCAACTGACGAAACTGAGGGTTAAAGCTGAGAAGGCAGCGGAGGTGCAGCTGGGTCCCCAGTTAGACATCCTTTCTCCTGTTAAATACTGAAGTCTTGGATTTGTTGAATATTTTGGTAGAGAAGTATTGGAATTTGAGTTGCTTCTTTTTTTTCTTCGTTTCTACATTTTGCAGTTATCCATAAAGATACTTTGTTGTTTCATTAGTTCTCAGTTTTGACACTTGAGAGTTGGGTACTATCATCTATTGTGATCAACTTTCCATACCCAATATTAACTGCTATATTTAGCATTTTTTCTCTATAAATTAGACGGAGATTGCAGGTTGCTGTTGTCATATCTAAGATGGTTGTTTATGGTGTACTTTTGGAAGATCACGGGTATTTACAATGGCTTCCAAAAGCGGTAGCTGTCAGTTTGCTTAGAAAACTGGTTTATATTGAAATTGAATTAAAATGGGTGGAGGAAACTGGTGTTCCTCCTGACCTTCAGTCTCTCTGCAAAATGTTATACAGGTATCCGGCAGACTAGCACGACTGCACGAGGTTGGAGATATGCTGACTCGGCGGTGCTCCTAAGGCTCAGTTTGGAAAAAGTACAAATACAAATATGTACAGTACGAATATATACAATATAATATAAAATACAAGGTTTTGTACTCTACATATTTGTTTGTGCTGAGTCACAATTTCTAATTTGAAGTAGGATTGAAAAACGGATTCAGAAGCTGGTTTCTACGAAGTGATAAATTTTAGCTTCCAAGAATCAAGATTGTCGCCCATGTTATTTCTAGTCTTATTTAAAGTAACTATCCGTGTGGTGTGACACGGTAAAGAATGGGTATTATGGAAAATCCATTAAAAAACATACCTGAACCTGGCTCTATATGTGACCATCATTCCTAGTTTTCCTGATTCCGGTACATTCATTTGATCTATTCTAACAACGGCTCTGTAACGATAGCAACTCCTTTTCTGTCGTCGTCGGTGGTTGATCTCTCTGCAGTTAAACACCTTTATGTTTCTCTTTGTTCTTTCTTCTCATCCTCCTGTCTAACCAAAGGTCTATCTACACGCATCAGCCTATCATTTTTTGTTTGGTCCTTTTCAAGAAAATTTGAAGAGGTGATTTCGTTTGGTCATCAATGACCCTGTTTACAAGTATGAATCAAGTTGGTTTCCTTAACTGTTCTTATTATTTTAAGTTGATGTAATTTTAAACACTTGGAATCCTCAAAAACATTGGGGGTTCAATGTGTTTTCTTTCTTGGGGTTTCTTTGGTCAGATAGATCTAATTCAAATGCTCTGTTTTGTTCTTTCAAGTTTCAACTACTGAATATTGTGTATCCAACCTAACCGAGAGACTATCTTTTTTGGTGAAAGACTATTTGTTCTACTTCTACTATTAGTGGCATACATGAATCGTTTAAAAAAAAAATCCTGATTTAGAAATGTTGTGCGTAACTATCTTTTTTTTTTTTTAATTATTTTAAAGGATTGTTGATATGCTAGGAAACAAGAAATATCATTATTTCGACGAATAACATCTCTGTATTTTATTAATATGGTAATAAGAAAGTGTTCCAAGCTAATTTCATGCATCAGATGGCTAATCCTTCAGAGTTTGTTAGCTTTGGTAGCCATCTGTTGAAGGGTCCATGGTAAGCCTATAACAGCTATCCCACTGGGGGGTATCAATCCCTAGAATACAAATGTCATTCAAGCAAATTGTACTAGACAATTCACATGATACAAATGTGATTTAATCCTTGTTAACCACTCACATTCTTCACTCCACATTTTGATTCAAGTGATTTTTTTTTTCTCTTTCTTAGCTGTCTTTGTGGATATTAGGTTTTGTACTGTTTTCATGTCATATTACTAATACAGCCCAATATGTATTACTTGTATTGTTTAGCTTTGAGAGAATGAATTGATACCTAATCAGATTTAAGCCCCCACCCAAATAATACAAAAATTTAAAATGAATATGTGTGTGACTTTTCTTTTTTATGTAGTTTAAAGTATAATAGAATACAATGCAGTTTAAAGTATACATTAAAGTGATTTTATGTTTAATTTCTCAGTTGGAGAATTGATACGAGGAAACAGGGTAGGGAGTAGGGTGATGTTAAACGTGATTCTGATTTTAAGAAACAAGAAACAAATAATTGTGTTAAATACATCTGCAAATTCTCTAGATGAGAATTCTAAGAATCTTTCCTTTTTTAGAAGGATTCTAAGAATCAAAATTAATGTCAAATAGGTCCTTAGTCTTCCCACTTGAAATTATACGAGGTTAAATGCTTTTTTACATAAATTTTAAGGAATAAGTGCCACATTGTTACGGTCTGACACAGGTTTAGCCTTGCCTACGCTTGGCAGGCTTACGTTAAGGGACATCACCGTCATTTTTGCCTATAAGATTTTTGGGAGAATTGATGTTATCTTCAGGCAGACTACCAAAAGCTTAACGTACTCTTTGAGGAGGGGTGGTAGACCTCCTTGGGTGCCTAGCCTTGGCACTCCTAGACCAACTTCCCTTGTGGGGAGGCCCTGGTTAATGGCTAGCATGGCTACTAGGGTTCCTCATGGGCGCACACTTGCTCATGGGGACAATGCACGGACTGGCACTGCGCTGCTGATACTCAAGGGAGGCTTGGCATGCGGGCCTGGCTCAAGCATGACCCTTCCCCACGCCARCCCCTTGCCCAAGCTGAGTGAGCTACCCTGTTGCCTCTAGCGCACGGGTGTGTTTCGGCCCAAGCGGTTGCCTCTCAACATGGCACACAGGTGCCCATCATCATCGGCATACAGGAGACCCATCACATCGATGCCCAGTCACCTCTTTGGCGCACAGTCGCCTTACATTATGGCCGTCCCCCTTTAGCACGTAAGTGACGCCTCCCATGGACCGGCCAGAGCCAGCCGAGTGCCCCGGCCATGCGACTTAAGGTCATGATCCAGTGCTACTGACCTTGGTGGAGCCATCTCATCGGGCAACTCCTAGCCTCTAAGCACACAAAGACTTGTCTTGGCCTGCCTTGGCCTGGATGCCGCATGGGTTTCTTCCGTTGTAGAACTACTCCCCTGACAACATGGCAAGGTTTCTTAAAAGAGCCAACGCGTGAGTGCTTGTTGAATAGGTTTCTAGGCTTCCCCACCGGTAATTTGCCAAAAAGGAGTGTGATGATTTGGGATCTACATCTCATTTGATGTTTATGAAAAATTTATGTGGACTCCTTCTGTCTGGTTGTTTTATGTAGCTGCTTAGATTGCCACAAGCTAATCAAAATCAGCCAAATTGCTCATGTTTTCAAGCTTTACGATGTGAGTGGAATTTAAAGCTCGTTTTATTATCGTTTTCTTAGGCAACGAAAACGCCTTGAGAAACGATAAAGTACATTGGGACTCTGGGTTATCTATCTATACTTACAGCTACAGGGCTGCCCTTTTCCTTTGTCATTAAATTCATTATATTAAATATAAAAAATTATGTTTTTTAATCAATATGTAATATATTTATGTTAAATTAAGCCATGATTCTAATTTAAATTAGTTAATGGTCACCTGATGAGAATAAAAAGTATCATATTTTTATTCCCAAATATTCACTTTTACATTAAATTAACACTTAATTGGACTCATTACTCTTGTATTTCGATTCAGGGCAAGCAAGAAGGCGACAGGAGGAAAACAAGGCTAATCGGGCGATTTTATACAGTTTCGGCACCATTCAATAATCTCGGCATAACTCTCAAACCCGGACTCCGATTGGGATGATTCAAGATGCACCGAAAAGATAAGGGTGAACTCCACAACTTTCATGTTCTGGGTTTTGACAGATTCGGTCTGCATCGTGGTCAAAATCGGGCTCAAAGTCGGAGCAAATTTGTAGAGAAGCCCAGCCTACAACTGAAGCCCAATTTAACCTCACATTAGGGACAATGTAAGTTTTAAGTCTGGGGGAGGGGATTTAGGTTGCGTTTTAAAATTTGATTTAGGTCGTGTTTTTTTGCATTTGTGTTAAAAAAAAGCCTCAACTCTTTTAAAATCAATTGAAACAATGTTGTAGGGAAATTCTTGTGAACCTAGTAATGAGGTACAACCAAGGAGTACATGACTTATCAGAAATCATTTCCAGTTAAGCTAGTCCTAAATTCAGGTTTAAGTAAATAGGGTAAATACTTCACCATTGCCACAATTGGTAGGATGGAGCATAAAATGCACCTACCGGTCAAGTAATCCGATGGTAGGATGGAGCATAAAATGCACCTACCAATCAAGTAATC